ATCTGCAGTTAGTTATACGAATTCAGTTATGGGATGAAATCGGATAGAGATGAAATCGTTTAAGGATGACGGGTTTAAGAGTTTTAAGAGTTTAAGAGTTTTTAAGAGTTATAGTCAAATGTTTTATAATATAGTATAGATATATATTGTGTGTATGTGTGTCATTATCCATATTATTATCATGTCATATAGGCAATTATTGGCATAAAGTTATAAACCCATATTATCAACATTTGATTGACCAAACGAACCATTTAACTCTTTTACCTTAGATAATGACATATTTAAGTACCAAGACAAATATATTACTACAAAAAGAATGAGTATTGGCACAAGAAGCTTCTTCTAATTAAAAAAAAAGCTTAATTAGTAAAAGACCAAAACTTTAATTTGGAATTAGAAGGGAATGATTATCTTGAAAACAAGGTTAAAAGTGTAATTAATTTAATAATTGGGACATCTTTTTATAAAGTTTTCTTATTTTTTAGACCAAAAGATGTTTCACAACTTTTTCGACTTGAAAATGATACCAATTCATCTTATTTATATATTTATTAAACATTTAAAATATTTATATGTAGATTTGGGATCATGTGAGACCAAAGGTTTTTCGTAAGACCAATTCTCAACTTTTGGATTAGATCTACAATCTGAACATTCATAATCACAAAATTGCCACGAGACTTCTCAATAATCACAAAATCGTTATCGTACAATTTTAGACCATTAGATCATTAGCTTATAAAGTTGATCAATAAACATAAATTGGTCTTACGGGTCTTACGAAAAACTATTGGTCTCACGTGAACCCAATAGTCTTTTACAAGTGTTTCCTAATTAATGGATTTAATTAAACAAATAGCGTACTAATAAAATAGTTTTTGGGAGGTGTCCTAATTACATAAATACCCCTGATATCTTGAATATAATGATTGCAGTATGACCTAAAAAGATTGAAAGTATAAACTATTTTACTTTAATAAATATTAGTTGGAGATAAGAAGGTTGCCTCCTAACCATTCAAGTTTTATATTCACTCCACTCCTTTAACTTTTTAATTAAAGTTATAATATTACAATTAATTTTTTTAATTATCATTTATTTAATCATTAATTAATTGGTTAATTAATTAAATCTACATGATCGAGGTTCATTGATACATATAAAAGAAAGAGCAAATTTATAAGACATTTTTGAAAAAATGTTTTATAAGCTCATCTTTTTATAGGGTACTTGTTTTCATTGGACATTTTTTCAAATAGTGCTCTATAACCTAAAAAAAACTTGTTAAAACGTACAAAATCGTCTTATAAACTTATTACAACGTATTTAAATAGGACGCTTTATTTTTCAATCCCATAAATTACGTTTTATAAACCGGTCTATTAGAATGCTTAAAATTATTTGGCGTCCTATAAACCTAATTTTGTTATAGTGATATGTGCTATGTAACCTGATGTAGAATTTTATTATAAATAAAGAACGGAAATTAATGCAATTTCCCCTTTAAAATTTTGATATTTATGTTCAAACAAAATAGAAATTCCAATAACTTGTAATCATATACACACATACACACACACACACACACACACACATATATATATATGTACATAAATGGCAAATACACAAGAAATATAGGTTTTAGCAACGACTTTTATTTTTAAAAGTTCATTTATGGTCATAAACGGTTATAGCGATGGTATATCTTCGCTATAGCTTGTGGCTGTAAAACATGTAGTCACTTTTCTTGTAGTGGGATTATATATATTTTAAATCTTTTTTGATTTTCTTATTATTTTTCTAATTCATCAATAATGAGATGGGGTTTTCAAAATCCATGCACCTTATGTTCATAACTCTTTAACATATTAATGATTCATACGTAATATGTTTTATAGATGTTGTGTACTACTAAACTTAAGTGTTAATAAACCTAAACCAATAACCACAAGGGTGATACTTGATTGGTTTGAGCTTGACTCCAAAAGTCAAAAGTGTCAGGAGGTCCCAAGTTCAAATCTAAGGAGGAACAAAAATCCCCTTTGTGGCCACAAATGTTCAAATGCGGTGCCTCTTAGCAACCTGCAAAGCAGGTGGTTGTCTTGGGATTATTAGTCGGCTCGCATAGCGGGTTGGATATCCAGGTTAATAAAAAAAAACCTAAACCAAACCCTTGGACTCCTTTTATAGGTATGAAACTACGTTGCTCTTTTTATATGGGACAAACTTAATACATTTGTAACGAAGCATTCTTGATTAGAGTTATTAAGAGTTTTACCTAAATGTTCTATAAAATGGTATATATTAAATAGTACCATATATAGTAGTCTTTATACTCGAGTTCTCTTTATTTCTAATCAGACACACATGTCGACCCATATAATTGATGCTACCGCTTCCATCTCTATCTTACACCAACAACTCCCACATCTACTCACAAAATATGATTTGCTTTGGCTATCCCGGTCGTTATCTCTTCCAAGTAAATTCATCTGTCCCTCGACAAACTAAAGTTCGTTTTGATCATGTCACATGTTCAAGTTGACCCTACCTCAAGCGAGATATATTGTATTTGTTTAGTTTGGTTTTTGATTTGTTTAAACGTTTGAATTGAGGAGCTTCAATGATTTCAAATAGTTAGGTCCAAGTTTTCTCGACCTTTCACCGATATGATTAACTATAGGACCATGTATGTGTTTCAACACTTTATTGAACTAACCGTGTGCCGACCGTAACCGTACTCTTTAGAAGCTTTTTTTGGTCACTAAAGTAAAATTGAATCCCAACTATTTGTGTTACATTTTGTAATGAATGAGATTGACTCCTAAAGAAGGAAGATTGTGAAGTTATGTGTATGCTTGAGAGGTTATGATGATGGAATGATGACATCATGGAAAGCTCACTGACATCATCATTAGAATGTGCACCAACATACTGTCGTTTTATAGCGTGACCCTGCCCATGTTTTGTCCTCTCCATTCTTGGATTATTTTTTCTTTTGTCCTTAATTAATGATATATATCTATATAGAGGAGTGATCAAATGAAAACCACATTCATTTGTACAAACCACCTTCATACGTCGATTTCATTGTTTAATCTTATGAAATTTTTCCATGAAATTGTTTAATCTTGTGAAATTGTTTCATATAATACTTTTTTTGATGAATTTGTTTCATATATAGTTATGAAATTGTTTCATATAATATTTAATGAAATTGTTTCATGTATTTCTCTAAAATTAAAATAATGAAGATGATAATATCCATGATTAACACCCTCCACAATAAAAATGGTTAATCAACATCTCATAATTACAAAAAAATGAACAAAATGAAAAATTATGATTGGTTGAATGAGGTTTTCACGGTTTGTACAAATTGAGTGGTTTTTATTTGAACGCATATATATATATATATATAGAGAGAGAGAGAGAGAGAGAGAGACAGAGTTTGTTCCAAATGAATCCATCTCATTTGTACAACCAATGCAACTCAATAAATTGAAATATTTATGGAAATGATAAGAGTTCATTTATTATGATTGAAATATTTATGAAATATGAATACGATTCATTAATTATAATCAATACTTTATATTAGAAAACAATTAAAACTTCTATGAAATTACATATTCATCAAATTAAATGGACGGTTGAGATTAAGTTGTATCGATTGTACAAATGTAAATGGTTGTATAATAACTCACCCCCCTCTCTCTCTCTCTCTCTCTCTCTATATATATATATATATATATATATACACACACACACATTACACATTCCACACGTGAAATGAAGGGGATGTTAATTAAAAAGACTGGTAATTAGCTCCAACTTAAAATTAAGGATCTACATTAGTGAATTTAATTAGGGTAAGATTTCTCTGTTTGTACAAGTGATCAAGAAGTGTTGTAAACATCGGTTTTCCTTACAACTTTTGCTTATGGAGATCAAAGAGTGAAAGGTAATCTTGCAATTAGATTTATTGTTGAAATGAAAACACATTGAAAGTGATTGAAGTCGTACCAGTAGAGAGGGCCAAACATGAATAGTACCCAGGACCGACAATGAAACTATCCATTGATCCCCATATACACACACACTCATGTATACATGTGTGTGTGTATATATATATACATATAGATACGATGGTGACCACTGTTCGTTGATACATATAAAGGCCTTTACGCATGTGGGTATCTTCACAGAGAGAAGTAGAGCATGGGGGTTGGTATCATGATTGATTTTTGGGTTCAGACTTTTGTTGAAAGCCTTGGGATCGAAGGCAAAGGCTGAGATGTAATCATGATGTTGTAGGAACAACCATAATCATCTCGCTGTAATTGCAGCTTATACCCAGTACCCAGAGAGGAATATATATATATATATATATATATATGTGTGTGTGTGTGTGTGTGTGTGTGTGTGAGTGAGAGAGGGAGATGATATTAATTTATGCAGTTAATTTGTTTATGTATAATATATAATATGTATATTGGTGAGAGTGTAAGAAAGTTTCATGGAAAAGAGAAAATAATACCAAAATAAAGTGAATCTTTATGGGATTTTTATGATATATATACACACACTACACACATTTATGTGTGTGTTCCTCTTTCTTGCTTGCTTTCTTTTCAAGGGTTGCTTTATGAAGAGACCTTGAAAGAGTGAAGAGTGCAGCAGAAACCATGAAAAAGTATGGCTAAAAGCAGGAGAGAGGTATATCCATGTCCATGTATGTCTTGATCTTTACATGTATTGATGTATGTTATGTGGGTGTCACCTGAACCACTGTTCCTTTGAAGTTAGGGATAGATTCTTTGGAAATTGTTGCTTTTTTTTTGCTCTCCCTCCTCTAAATTTAAAACCCAAAAAAAAAAGGTTTCTCCTTTTCTTTTTCCATTTTAATTTTAGAAAGTTCACTAGAAAAGTGTGTAGAACAGCAACAGCAGCAGCAAGCAGTGTATCATATAGTTTATATATCAGTCATATAATTTATGGAATCTGCAAACTTTCATCACCACCAACAAGAAGAAGATCACCAGATTCTTGTGGACTCTTCTTGCTATGGACTTGCTTCCTACCAAAACCCCATCTTGTAAGTTCCTCTCTCTCTAGATCTCATACCCACATTTCATATATGTTTATAGAACTTAAGGTTTTTAACTTGAAATAACCAGTAATTTCTAGCTAGGGTTTTAACTCTCTTTTAATTGTTTGAGAAATGCTTATTTGGAGAGCACATTTTAGCTTAACTTCTCTAGCTATATATGTATATATCTCTGTATTATATCCCTCTATATTCATATATCTTATTGACTAAATTGTGCAGGATTAATGGTACCAGAAACACTACAAACTCAAGAGATGTGAAGCAACAAATAAATCATAACATCGATCCCGCGCCTTGTCTTACTCCACCCATGGCACAAGACATGGGATTACCCTGGACTACAACCATCCCAATGGAAAACTTCATGGCTCATGAAGTGCAACATCTTGCAAGAATCAAGCACGAGCTCTGTGTCTCAGGATCGTATCCAGAAATCTCAGAAATCATAAGCAGCAGCCCAACATCCAGCATCGAAGATTTACAGTTACAGTCTTCCCCAAGCTTCGTGTCAAAGAATAATCATCAACGAATTAGATACAACGATGATCATAACAATCAAGATATGTTGCTCAAAACTTTCTCAAACGGATGTCAAATAAGAGGTGATCACCAGATGCTTATGTATCAAATTCCCTCATCTGTGGAATCATCGGTCTCATACCTTAATGATACTAACAGCAGTTATAGAGGGACCTTTAGCCAGATTTTTCCAACACTAAATATTCCGAGTTTGAATCAATCCCCGAGCTCTTTCGATATCAACTTGCCAGCTTTAGATCCCTTTGGCTCTCCAACGTTTAATGCGAGTTTTAGCCATCAACCTTCTTCCCTCAATGGTCATCATAATATAGGAGTAGGCCTTTTCAGAGAAACCTGTTTGTCTTATGGTCTTGATCAAATGCATCACCCTCAAGAAGTTTGCCTTGGAAAAGTGAGTTCATTTTTCTCTTAAATTCTTTCAATTGTTTGTCAATAATTTATCGTTCTTTAGCTAATCTTTTTCCTACATTAACTATTAAGTGATAACTAATGTCACTAAGTAAGTATTCAGACCAAGTTTTAGAAGTTTAAAACGCTGAAAACTGCGATTTGAGCACACATTGAAGGCCTGCAGCATGAAGAAGATCATACATTCATTTCTATTTTGATTCAGACACTAAACCTACATGTATAAATCTTATACAACCTGTTTTAAACTTCATTCAAGATATCACCAGCCTTCATCACCGAAACAACAGAAGCAAAAAGGCCAGCCAGCAATTATACGACGGATGCAAAAGCAGCCACTCCACCAAAGAAATCAAAGCTGGAATTGCGCCCTTCTTGCGCACCATTGAAGGTAATTCTTACACAGACTTTCTTCAACTAGCAATCCCAATATCATGTCTTTTTTACTGTAATCAAATTTCTAGTATCGTTCATGGGTGGGTGGGTGTGCTTTTTGAATCAGATTAGAAAGGAGAAATTAGGAGATAGAATTTCAGCTCTTCAGCAGATGGTGGCACCTTTTGGCAAGGTATTGAATTATTATCTTTCCTCCTCTCATAAAGTTGCTGGCTTTCTCTTGCAGAAATTGAACAGCTTCTTTTTCTTAAATATGCTTTTGCTGTTAGTATTGAAATATATGCTTTTGCCTTCTTACCATCCAAAAATACTCATTTTGGCAGCTAGTAATTGCCATCATTGAGGGTTATTGGTATTTTAGTTAATTAATTAACAATTATGTAACCTTATTAGATTTCATGTCCAGTCCATTCTAAAGCTGCAAATTTTTTAACACAAAGAAAGGGTTCGTGTAAAATCTTCAACACACACGTTTTGAAGTTTATACAATAACTAAATAAGAGAATAAAAAATTATCGAATTACGTGAGATTTTATACTAAAATCACGTGTAAAATCACATGTAATTCATGTTTACTTTGATCGCGACCTAAGGTTACGAGCCATATTTGATTAGTTTTTGCATGTGATTTAACCGTTTTTATGTTTTTTTATTTGGTTATTGTTTTCGTTTTCGTTTAAATTTCCTTATATATATATATATATATATATATATATATATATATATAGAAAGAGAGAGAGAAGGAGGTTCAGGAGAAAATCCAAAAAAAAAAATTGAGGAACACATTAGTAACCATTCATCTGGACGGCATGCACTTATGCATATAAATAATAAAGTTGTTTCATGGTTTTTATGCACGTGTACATACGGACAAGTTGTTTATAAAATACTTATATGCACATGCGTATATATTTTCAGACGAACAATAACCTATGCAACCCACTTATTATATCATCATTTTTTTTATTTTCTTTTTTGGTTTTTTTAATTAAGGGTAGTTAAAGCAGCTCAAATGGTAACTTTTGATGATTAAATGCACGTTCATGATTTGCTTGTAAAGGTTGTAGAAATGTGAAATATTGCATAATAACCCATATATATATATATATATATATATATAGAGAGAGAGAGAGAGAGAGAGAGAAAAAAAAAAAAGTTGGGTTGATACGAGAATGATATGTATTTAAGAAAATAAGAGAATGAATATATAACATACATTTCATTAAATAATAATTTAAATCATTAATGCTAAAAATAAGTAAATAAAGGTAGAATGAAAATTTAGTTATATATAAATTATTTAAGACATTTATTTAAGACATTTATTTAAGATTCTACTTTTATCATCTTCATTACTTTAAATATAATTTAAAAAATATTTTATACTTAATACATTTAAAATAAACATAATTAATCTTCATTTAAAGAACTAGTTTTTTTATTTAAATCACCATTTAAAAAGAATTATATTTTTCGTCAAAATCACATATGATTCACCAATTAATTAAATTTCATTCTCAAAATGTTTTATTAATCATATATGATTTAAGGCTTGAAAAACAATTATTCAAATTAAACATTAAAAAAAATAATGAAAACAGAATCGCATGTGATGTGTACCAAAACACATTTAAAATGTATAAGAGCACATGTAATTTTAAAACATAATTCATAATTTACACATGTCACATGTAATGTTGTAGATAATCAATATCACATATGATTTTTCACTGCATTTTCTTGAATACGTATCATTCTCATATGAATACTCTCTCTCTCTCTCTCTCTTTCTCTCTGTGTGTGTGTGTATATATACATATATATATATATATATATGAGCGATCAAATGCAAACCACTCAACTTGTACAAACCGTGCAAACCACCTTCATCCGTCGATTTCATTGTTTAATCTTATGAAACTTTTTCATAAAATTGTTTAATCTTGTGAAATTGTTTTATATAATACTTTTTTTGATGAAGTTGTTTCATATATGGTTATGAAATTGTTTCATATAATATTTTTTTTTATGAAATTGTTTCATATAATACTTAATGAAACTGTTTCATGTATTTCTCTAAAATTAAAATAATGAAGATGATAATATACATGACTAACACCCTCCACAATAAAAATGATTAATCAATCTTCATAATTATAAAAAAATGAACAAAATGAAAAATTATGATTGGTTGAATGAGGCTTGTACGGTTTGCACAAATAACATGGTTTACAAAGTAAACCTTCTCTCTCTATCTCTCTCTCTCTCTCTCTCTATATATATATATATATATATATATATTTATTAGACACACAAAATACACAGAGACAAATTAATTGAATCTTAAATTACGAATTAAGCAAAAATCTTGAAGCATCACTTGAATCATGGGCAGCTCAGTTTTCAGAAAAAAGAACACTACTTGCTGAAAAATGGGTCGCAGACCACCACCCGTTGTCGTTTCTCTTCAATTTTCTTCTTTTGTTAAATCGGAATGATTTCTTCGATCCATCCATACAAGTCGTAGATTAATTAATTAATAATTGTTATATATATTCAATGATTATATATATATATATATATATATCCAATGGTGTTGATAAATGTGATGTTGAGGCTTGTGGGGAATATTTGCAGACAGATACAGCATCGGTGCTCATGGAAGCCATTGGATATATCAAGTTTCTTCAAAACCAAGTTGAGGTATTTATTTATTAATTAATTCTTACCTTCAAAACATTCTTCTTGATTTCTGTTCTTTTTTGTTATATATTCCCTTTCCCTCCAAGCTTTGCTTAATTAATATATACCTGAATTCCCAAAAATTAAAATCAGATCCTTTGCAGTTGTGATATTCGACTCATTGTATAAACAAAAACCCAAATTAATTTGTAACCCTAGCTTGGACATAAAACCCTAATTCGCCTTGATATGTTTTAATTTATATAATTTTTTTTATTAAAATTAATAATAGTAACATAAAGTTATGTGTCGGTTTTGAATAGTTAATGGGAAAAAAACCCAATAAATTAACTTGGAATTATATTTCATATATATATATATATATATATATATGAGTGGGTTCAAATAAAAACCACTCAATTTATAAAAATCGTGAAAACCTCATTCAACCAATCATAATTTTTTATTTTGTTCATTTTTTTGTAATTATGAGAGGTTGATTAACCATTTTTATTGTGGAGAGTGTTAATCATAGATATTATCATYTTCATTATTTTAATTTTAGAGAAATACATGAAACAGTTTCATTAAAATTTCATTAAGTAGTATATGAAACAATTTCATAACCAYAWATGAAACAACTTCATCAAAAAAAGTATTATATGAAACAATTTCACAAGATTAACAATTTCATGAAAAAATTTCATAAGATTAGCGACGGATGAGAGTAGTTTTTACAAATTGTAGTGGTTTTCATTTAATCGCTCATATATATATATATATATATATATATATATATATATAGGGTTGAGTTCATATGAGACTAAGGGTTTTTCGTGAGACCCATAAGACCAATTTATGTTCATTGATCAACTTTATAAGCTAATGATCTAATGGTATAAAGTTGTACGGTGACAATTTTGTGATAATTAAGAAGTCTCATGACAATTTTGTGATTATGAATGTTCAGATTGTAGATCTAATCCAAGGATTGAGAATTAGTCTTAAGAATCTCAGGAAAAACCCTTGGTCTCACATGATCCCAAGTTTATATATATATCCTGATGATCTTGAAATTTCAAAAGTGTAGCACTAGATAAAAGTGTAGAGTATGGAGCCCATGCATGTATGCTTTTGACATAACCTTATGGCACTATGTAGGGTTCACGGTAATGCACCCCCACCCTCCACCCATGAGCCTTCTCTCTTCTTCTTTACCCAAAGGCTCCCAATTGCCAAACATGCCCTACATTTTGTTTAATTGTACATCTTTCTGCTGATGCACGAGATAAAAAGACATATCAACCTGAAAGGACTCGAAAGAAATGATGGCTAAATGTTTTTCGATTTGCAGACGTTAAGCGTGCCATACATGAACTCGACACAGAAGGCCAACAGAACATCATCACGAGGGGTAAGAAACTAATTACACACGTGAACGCATCTGGTCCGTATGCCATTGTTAAAGTCCATATAAGAAAAAGGCTAGCTAACTAGGTCGAAAATTTTCTAATTTCCGTTACATAGATTAACAATAACTGTATATGGTTACATGTGATCCAACTCAGGGTTCAATAAAGGATGTAAATGAAGAGACCAAGAGGGATCTTAGAAGTCGAGGGTTGTGTCTGGTGCCATTGTCGTGTTTGTCGTATGTCACGTATGGAGGTGGAAGCATTTGGGCAACCCCCTAGCTAGCTAATAAACTTCACAAGATCGATCGCTCTTTGTCCACTTCAATCAAGAGTGATGAGAACAAAGTCAATCCTTTGGAAACTATACATATCAGACTTGATCAGATCGATTGTTTAATTTCATCTCACTTTTTTTGTTGATATGATGGAACAGATTTGGTCGTCCTGTAAACGATGTTGTTGAGGATAGACCATGTCTGATCCATTAGTAATGTATCCAATATTGATATTAGATTGAACAAACCGTGCAACAATCGTTATGGTCATTGATAAAGGCAAATTTATATTGAATGTACGTATTGTTACAAACCAGGATATAAAGTATATATGATGGTTTAAATATCTTCAAAAAAAAGCGAGAAGCTGGTTTTTGAACATAGAAATGAAGAACAAGATTATGGTCCAATGGGTGGTTTATGTGGCGCGATATTTGATTTTTCTTATTTTGTAGTTTATAATATGTAATCTGGTTTAAATGTTTAATATCATTAACTCATTAAATAATGGTATAAAATATATGTGTGTATGTATATGATATACGTATTTGTTGTCATAAGTCGTGCCTTGAAAAACGTTGTAGTCTTGTTGTGACTCTTAATACTTGAGGTTTGACATCATTGCCATGTCATGCCTCACACCTTTTAGAACGTTGATTTAATGTGCAACTTCTTTTTGCATGACGTATAAGTTAATGTAGTTTAATGTACAACTTTTATTGGGTGATCATTGTTATTTTACAACAAAGTACGACCATGACTGAGCCACCCCTAGATAAAATTCCTAACTCTGTCCCCGATATTAAGCATTGTTTATCATTCATCATAAATAATGAGATTGTTAAGTATAGATTAATATAAATCTAACAATCCAAATTTAGTCGATAGTAAACAAATGTCGATTCGAATTCAACATTCTTAACATTTATATTTATGATCATTAAATTTAGGGTAAATTGCATGAAAAAGTAACGTACTTTAACTTGATTCCTATTTTGGGTAACGTACTTTCAAAACTTTCATTTTGGTACCTATTGATAGAGCAAATTGCATGAAAAAGTAACGTACTTTAACTTGATTCCTATTTTGGGTAACGTACTTTCAAAACTTTCATTTTGATACCTAAGATGTAAAGTTTTAAACATTTAAGTACCCGGGTAACCTAGTGAAGACTAATTTTAGACTAAAAAAAATACTAATTTTAGATTTAAAAAAATCCACGTCATTAACCAGGTCAGCAAATAATACCGAGTTGGATACCACATCACTCGACACATCAACATGATAACCGGTTAATACTTCAACCAGTTACCCGGGTACTTAAATGTTTAAAACTTTACATCTTAGGTACCAAAATAAAAGTTTTGAAAGTACGTTACCCAAAATAGGAATCAAGTTAAAATACATTACTTTTTAATACAATTTGCCCTTAAATTTATCAGAGTTGATATCTTATGGTCATAAATTGTCATCTTATCAGGATTATCTGGATTTGGATCTGGATCTGGATATGGCTTACGATACCTTAAAAATTAACATTTAAATATAGTTTCATACAGAAATTGAGATAGATATATTCGTAACTTCGTATCCGAACGAACTTATCAAGGCCCAACTAAGTTTTTAGTCCAAATTCAAGAACGGCCCACTATTAACAAATAATCAAGGCCCAGCTACGTCGGTCCAGAGAGTTTCCAATATTAACAACTTTTTATTTTAATAATCTATATGAACATCATTAAAAATATTATATATATATATATATATATATATATATATGGGCTCATTCAAGAGAGAACTGATTAGTTTGTAGTAACTGTGAGATCTAATCTCAACCACAAATCAATTGATAAATTAAGAAATTAATAATTATGGCAGTTTGAGTTAAAATTATAACTAGAAGACATTTTAGGTATTTTTAAAAAACTTCTCTCTCCTTTCTCCTCTCTTCTCTCTCATCTCTCCGACCTCCAATTTCCGGCCTCCGGTGAACATTAATCCGACAGGTACCAAGTAATCACAAAGATACACAATGTGATACTCATTGTGATATATTGTGATACCATTGTGATACTCATTGTGATATATTGTGATATCATTGTGATACCAACTCAAACCTTAAAAACAAAGATATACAATGTGATACCCATTGTAATACACATTGTGATATATTGTGGTACCGTTGTGATATATTGTGGTACTGTTGTGATATCAACTGTGGTACCGTTGTGGTACCAACTGTGGTACCGTTGTGATACCAACAAGATGACCGGAGGAGGTCACCGGAGTAGTGGTGGGTGCCGGAGAAGGTCACCGAATTTGGTCTTTGTGTGTGTGTGTGTGTGTGTATATATATATATATATATATATATATACATATATTAAAATAACTAAACTAATTAAAGTAAATTGGACTAATTAAAGTAATTGAATAATTAACACAATTTACTAATTTACCTTTTGTTTTATTTTAATAAATAACATTAATTATCTGAAATGATTGGCTCATATTGAACCTCACAGTTATCACAAACTATCTAGTTCTCATTTGATTAAACCCCTATATATATATATAGAGGTTGGTTATTATACAACCCATTATATTTGTGCAACCAATACAACTCAATCTCAACCGTCCATTTCATTTGATTAATATGTGATTTCATAGAAGTTTTCATTGTTTCCTAATATAAAGTATTGATCATAATTAATAAACCATATTCATCTTCCATAAATATTTAAATCATAATAAATGAACTCTCATCACTTCCATAAATATCTCAATTTATTGGGTTGCATTGGTTATACAAATGCAACAGGTTGTATTTGAAACAAACTCTCTCTCTCTCTCTCTCTCTCTCTCTCTCTATATATATATATATATATATATATATAGAAAGGTTCAAACGAGAACTTCTGTGATTTACGAGAATGCGAGAACAACCCAATAACCACATATTGTGATAAAAAATAAAATTAAAAGATTTTTAAAATTAAAATTGAAATTGAAAAAAATTCAAAAAAATTTAAAATTAAAAGGGTAATAATGGAAATGATATCTCAAATATTTACAACACGATCATTATCTTTTAAACACGATCATTATTATAATTAGGCTTATCATTATCTAGTAAACGGTTATGAATTCAAGGAGACTCATAACTTCAAATCGCAAAACAACCGAGGGAAGCAAACATTGATCGACGGTGATCGACGCAACCCTAATCGACCAATAACCCTAATCGAGAAGCCATTGCATGCAACAAGCGGACAAATTCAAAGTATCTTTCAAAATTACTCGTTTTGAATAAGTTTTTAATCGATTAGTTGTGATACTCATGTGATATCAATGTCACTYGATTTCATTATGGTTTCAATTGGTTATGTTAGACATTGTCACAACGATTTCGAATGGCTTCGATAGGTTAGGATTATACTAGGTGTGATAATCATGTGATATGGTGTGTGATAATCACCTGATAGGGGTGAGATAATCACCATTATACATCACTTGGGTTATCGTTTTGGTTGATAAGTTAAAATTTTGGTGTAATCATGTGATATGAATGTGATAATCATGTGATAGGGGTGTGATAATCACCATTATACATCACTTGGGTTATCGTTTTGGTTGATAAGTTAAAATTTTGGTGTAATCATGT